AGTTGATTTGCCTGAGCCAACTTCTCCACAAATAGCAACCTTTTCCCCAGGTTTAATTGTCAAGTTTATGTTCCTTAAAGTGGCTCTGGAGGAAGGATTAGTGTCCCAAGAAATTTCAGTGCACCTGATAAAAACAGAGTGTTCAAACACTATGTCATCGCACTTCGGCTGTAGATTTCTGTTCATCAATTCTGGTTCCTGAAGAAACCTCACAATCCGATCCAGGGAAACCTTTCCTTCAATGAACACTCCAAGAACATCTGGAATCAACCTAATTGGCTCCTGAACAATGCGGAGACAAGATAGAAATGTGAAGGCATTTGCAGCATCAAGTGGAATACCAAGGAAATAGCATGTCCAGAAGGTAACAACCGGTACTATAGTTGGAGATGACCAAAACAGAACCAGATAACACCCTTTTTGTGCCATAACACCTGATATCCACTTGAATTCTTCTTTCCTCAGTCCTTCTATAACATTCTTGAAATGTGTTTCCCATGCATACAGCTTCAAGACCTTCATATTTGCAAGCGCCTCTGTGATAGCCTTCAGCCTTTTACCTTGTGCCACCATTAGCATTTTCTGATACTCATGTTGTAATTTGACCAGTGGAGAACACGCAGCAACAGTCAAAACAATAGCAATTAAAGCCGCAACACTTGCCCATCCCACAGAATAGTACACAATAAACAACGCAAGGCATAACTGAAGGCTTGTTGACCATATTTGATGAAACCAATACGGGAACTCACCTATTCTGTATGCATCTAGACTGACATAGTTGACAATCTCACCCGGAGAATGAGTCATTCTGGCACTATTTGATAGCCGAAGTTGCTTCCGATATATTGCAGCAGAGAGCAAAGACCTTACTTGAAGTCCAACCAGTCTTGTTCTAAAGAACCATTGCCTCTCAGAGAGTGACTCCAAGCATTTTGCGACGAAAAGGCCAACAGTCAGCAAATAACTCTCGTACTTAAATACTTCTTTGCCGTCAGCAACCCGAATAAAGGCTCTAAGAAACAGAGGTCCTGTGGAGAGTGAGAGAACCTTGACCAGCGCAAAGAACCCAGTAACAAAAATGGCTTCCCAATACATAGAAAGAAGTATAGAAAACATTGGTGGAGGATCAGTTCTTTCTTTTTGTTTATGTTTGCTCAGTTGTTCCATAAACACTAAGTAGCATGTCTGTGATCGATCTGCCTCTCGCAACTTTGGTATATCTTGTTCCTCCAGAATTTTCTCTCTGCCCTTCTTCATTAATGGATTCAACCACCAGAATGACATCTTACTGAAAAATCCAGCTTTTGCAAAGGGAGTAACAGGACAAGAAGCGATTTGACCAGTTGCATCAGGGTCCTCTCCTTGCAAGGGTGTATAGCAAGCATCAGCATTTACTGGATAAGTATCCACAGAATCATGTCGTTTAAAGGCACAGAAAAGCAGTAAAATTGACCCAGGAAAAGATAAAATATCCAAAATGATCTTAACTGAGATGGTTCTATCTGTAATGGCCTCTTGAA